ATGTGGTACAGCAGAAACTTTTTGGATGGTGTCGTCGCAAGTAGAGAACAGCCCGAAAGTCTCAGTTTCTGTAATTCTGAGTGTACAATAGAACATTCAGCATTCAGACGGTAAGCATAAGAGATTTTAACCAGACAGCGTAATGAAATCACGTGACAACTTACCTGCACATTTGATAGAACCTCGAGTTTCACAAGAAGCTTGGTGGAATGAGGGAGGGGTTAGCATTGAGATAAAGAAAAGAAACTCGTATGATAGAAATAAAACATGTCCTTATTATGCCAGAGCAGTAGGGTTAACACGTTATCATTAGTTGCAGCCCACACAATACGCACCTCGGTTACAATTGAGATGATTATAGAGGTCTCTGCGGTGCAGATTGTATCGTGTTTCACAACCACGCCCTCATGTACGCAACATCAGTAGCGTTTGCAGCGGTTGTAAAACTGTGGTACACGAACCACCATCAAGTAAAGATAAAATGATCATGTATCATGGCAGACATCGGAATTCGTCTGACGTTAGAAGTTGGCTTCACGGTTCGATCGCCTTCGCTCTCGACTAGAACCTGAGATTCAGGTCAATTTTGCCTTGAGGGAAACATAACATTGTTTTGAATTTAACAAACTGACCAGATGCCCTAAGATCCATGTTATTAATTAACCAACTCTCTGGCAGCAGAACCCGAAGACTCAATACCGCCCGTCATTGAACATGATGCTGGTTGGCACTGTGCAGAATCTTGGACTCCTAAAATGCTTCCGGATAGGTTCACGAAATCAGTGCGAGTTAAGCGGGAACAGACCTGTTGGTAATAAGCAAATCATCACTCTAAAGAATTTACATTTCACAGCTTCGGAGTTTATCCTTGTTCCTTGTTCTAATTTCCTTAAAATTTCATTACGTCTAAAAATATCTTTCATATAACAGTTACAGATCTTTTTCTATTCACTGTCTACTGAGTGCCTGCATAATTTACAGGTTATCGCCGTGTTGATTGGAAACTTTGTTAACACGGCATGGCGCGGTCTCAGGTTGTGGATCATTGCAGCAGTCGTGCACAGCCGACAAGGGATGGTCCTTTAGTCTGGGGGTGGTGTGGTAGGCTGAAAACTCCTTACATTAAATAAAAACCAAAAGGTTAGAAAATTACTTACATAAATCTAGAAAAAGATAGAACGATAATATTAAAATTTATCTTTGGGAAATATGTGGGGAGGGTGTGGATAGATTCTTGTGACTCAGGATACAGACCAATGTCGAGCTGTTGTGGACAGAGTGAATCTTTTTATTCCGTGAAATATGGGGACGTTCTTCAGTAAATAAGTATCAGTTCCTCAAAATAGTATTTGGTGCATGTAATGTAGTTCGATTCGAGTTTCGTGTCTTAATTAATTTGTTCGAACCAAAATTTAATTCTGTCTGTCTGTCCGTAGGCAACTTTAGCTATACTAGTAATACCTGTCGTGGTAGTGGAGTTAGGGCACAGTTCATTTCTGACTTCAGCTCTGTATGATGTGAAAGGTTGGTCATGTAGTTTCGTACGTGAAATATGACGACAGGGTCTGGGCATTATGCGTTCATTTTAAGAGTTATGTGTAAGGAACTCATTTGAAACCAAATCAAGTGTTCTGCACCTTTGAGTAAACTGTCAGGATACACCCACAACCGCGGGAAGAATTACGAGGTGACGTCACCGGGTACAGGTGAGTTTCAACCAAGCTTTTTCTGCAACGTTTGCGTGTCTCAACATGTTCCCCTAACTTTCTTGAGAGTGGTAAAAGATGCTTCCAAACATTTTGCTGTTTCCCTTGAAAGTGATTCGAGACTCGTTCCAAGATTTCTGTGCTCAGAAACAGTACTGAGGAGATGCTCTGACCGAAGGAAGTGGTACCAGCGGAGGAGAATCATGTAGCATATACTCGTTACGTTATATAACACGTTAAAGGAAACAAGGTAAACAAAGTTTACAAACCTTAAGAGAAATCATTTGGCACACCCAGAAAAAATATTAAAATAAATTAGTGCGAAATTGGGCACAAGGATATGGACTGGATATGGTACGATTTTGTGAACAAGGCGATGAGCCTTCGGGTTTTAGAACAGCAGGGAGTTTAATGAGGCTAAACTTTTCAATAGACTCTGTGACATGACTCAGTTATGAAGGGTGACGTACCCTACTCTTGAACAAAGACCAGCCATTTCCAGCTGTCACGATGTTGAAAATTTGCAACATTTCTCTAACAAAAGTTAACTTTACGCGTTTCCTGATGATCCTTTGAAACAGACGATGTTCCCCTCGTCTCTTATGATAATTAGTTACTGTGTTTATCTGTATTACGTTCTGTTTTGGTGTCAACCGTCCGGAAAGAACTCCGAACCCTTTCTATACGCTCTGACAAGTTAGTGGTTCAAATAGCCCAGAGTTTGATTCTAACCACTGCCATTAGTACAAAAACACAGGAAACAATATTTCATTACCATCAGGAAGAGGAAATATACACTCTTATTTAGTATTTGGGAGGTCCAGTGCTCATAACCCGGACTGCAGATCCATTACCTTAACTGAGATTTCTCGTTGTTTTACTCTGAATAAAAACCATCTTCTGTGTAGACGTGATAACGAAAAGGTGAATCTGACCTTGCAGAAAATGAACAGCAGGTATCCGGAATTTATTCATTATCAAAACTGTCATCATTATCAGCAGCAGCGTGATTCATTTCCGGGTGACTAATAATGTCGAACGAAGAAAAAACTTTTTTTTTTTTTTTGGAAAATATTAGTTTTTGAAAAATTGTTCATGTGTGATGACCGGACTGAAATCTAAGATGCAGGCGTGTGTAGGCCAGTAAGAAACAAGCTGAGACTTGCGAGGTAAGAGGTAAGGACTGCAGGCAGGTGGTGGTGGCGGCGACCCTGGGAGCGATACATTCCTTCAAGACGTCTTGAAAGGTGCAGGCAGGGATACTCTACACTACTGTACAGCTAGCTGGCTACCATCTGCTGTTCCTGCTATGTGTGGGAACGCTGGTCGGATGATCGTTCCCACGATTCCCTAAAACACCCGCTGCAGCTTAACCCTCTTCCCCCCCACCCCCCGCCACCACCCACAAACTCGTGTCGGGCACACACCTGCCACGGGTCCTCATGCCTAACACATGAGCGCTTTCGGTCAACAACGGCGTACGTCACGCCGATTCGATTTCTTCGAGGAAGTATTCCACTGCTCTGAATATTTTTTGTAGAATCGAGCCTTTTGCGTAAGAACTTGCGCCCGTTTGGCTTTCTTTGAAAGATGGAGTCTGTTAGAATCTCCGAACGTGTGCTAACCTGTCAGCCAAAAGTCGGTGTTATCACCCAAGAATATGTTCGTAAATGTTAGGTTCTCACAGCGTTGAATGTGTGAGCACATTCGACAAGATATGTACGTACTGACTATTGGATTGGCTTATAACATGGTGCAAAGCCGAGCTTTCGTGATGAAATCGAGAGACCTTGCAGATACATAACAAATTTAATTATATTAATCAGCTGCATAACCCTCTGATGCACTCATATTTACTTATTGATTATTCCATATTTTAATGATGCTGTTTCTGGTGCATAGGCTAATTAGTTTAAAATGATATGGAAAGATTCGTGAATTGTGAGCAGGTAAACATTTTAGACAAAGTGAGGATATTCTGTAGCGCAGCCGAGGTTCGAACCGGGTAAGTTTGAGGTCTGTCTCATTGCACAAAATACGGAATGTCGTGACCGAGTTATTAGCACTAATGTTTTGTGTGGGAGAGGTCCTGGGTTCAGTTCTGACCTGGAGACAGCTAACCCTGACACGTTTTTCCTGGTTTTCCTTATTTCCTTCACGCAAATGGAGTTAGAGCACCCGAAGTGCATGGCCACAACATATTTCTTCCATATCCTTCTCAGTTTATTAAACGACACTAATCCAGCCTGCTTCGTTAATTATTTAAACATTCCAGTGTAGTACTCGAACTTGTAGGGGTTGGGTAATTTTGTACTGTAACTTTAAGGAAATCAGTTCTGGTAAGAATTATTCCTGTTTGTACCTTTATTTTTTATAGTAATGTGTGTATTTTTCACAATGATATGAATTGGAATAGAAGAAGCAAATGGCACTAAAGACCATCTTGTGGGTTCTGGCCCAGTGTAATCTGCTAGAAGTTTGCCAGCGTTTCAGAGGTCCCTTCTGCCTCCATCATTAGGGCGATGAATCAGCCGCGCGCGTGAACTAGGTTGAAAAAGTCAACTGCCTTTTAGTTTTTGAACGGCTCTAATTAGTTTATGGCAGAGATGTGCTGTCTGTATTTATATTTAAAACCTTTTATGGTTCCAGCTATTGTAAATTATGGGTGAGGGGGTCACAATTTCAGTTTGTACCCGCTCTTAAAGCATAGTAAACCCTTATAAATGTGTACTGACAATTTCCTCGTGGTAGACTTTTTTTAATGAAAAATAAAATATTTTCAAGCAGTTCGAGGTATCACCCTCTTGTAGTCTACTGAGAAGAATGTGTCAACACAGAATTACACGGGAATGTCTCAATGCAGATTTTGGGTCTACACTCTTAATATTTAATTTGCCTCCCAAACTTTTTGTGAAACAAAAATGAACTGCAGGTTCTGCTTCTCCTTCAAGCAAACTTTTATGTCGAGTTCGAATTTCAAAAAAACTCACGAAGAAATAACATTGTATTGTTGTTTATGTTAATTAGGGTAGTCATGGACCAGTTCACCGCTCATGTACGTATGTCGCTTTTACCCTCAGATGCTCCCCCCCATACATTTAAATTCCCCCCTTCTTTTCTTGGTCTGACGACCTAGGCTTTCCGATACAACACTATAGCAACCTTCCCTTCCCTGTTAACACAAAACCTTTTATCCAAAACCTCCCCCCCCCCTGTTTTTTCTTCCTTTGCTCTGACGTCACGACCCGTGTGGTATAAATGCGAGATGGGGAGTGTAAATTGGGATCAGTCCGAGTTTTCCAGCGTGTTAGGAAGTTGGGTGATATCTAGTCTCTTTCGAGTGAGGTATCACGTGTCTTGTGTGTGTGTGTGTGTGTTTATTAATCACAGCGGCTGACGTTGTCATAGCAACAGAACCAATATGTCTGCTGATAACAACACTGTTACACCAGTAAAGAAAAACTTCAAAGCTTTCGCCTTGAAAATGCATCGAATCAAAAAGGTTGGTTTATCTGACGTACTTTGTATTTTCTGTTCGTGTTTATAAACTTTGTAACGTGAAAAATGAAACTAGTTTAAAAAAAGCATATGATTTTCCTTAGCCATCTAAATTAATTAATACATTAATTTTTAAGCGGTCCCGAAATTAGTTTCTGATTGCCAAGTCAGTTTTTAATGTCTGGTTTAATTAACTTTATTATATTAACTGCAACAATTTTGTTTTGATTTTGAATAGGTGACTTACAAGTCTGTATTTTTGTTGTTACAGATACTGAAGCCAGTGATGAAGCTTCTTCATAAGCAATGTCATCGGTTCGAAGCCCGGGAACAGCATATCCCGGCTCCCCAGTCTACAACAGTGAAACCACAACTTACGGATGAGTCGGAAACCTTCCAGAATTCTGCAAATGAAGCACTGGAGTCTCGCCTCCGCGACGACCTGATTCAGAAGTCCGAGGAGGCGGGCGGTGTGATCGGTGTGTGGGTAGAGGGGAGGATGACCTTGATTCCGGTGACACGAGGTCGCCAGCACATCCCAGTCCCAGTTCATTTCGCTTGTACGCCATCTGGGGATTTCGCTTGGACGCCCCTGCCCGACAGTGACGTATGGTGGCGTGGAGGTGTACAGACAACAGGACAAACAGCTGAAGAACAGGTTCCGTCAAGCAGGAAAATTGAACTTGAATAGTTTCAATGAGCTTAATTTTTTAATCAGTACAGCTGAAAAAATTACGAGTACCTGAAACGATTCCTGAAGCGAACTCGATGAAATGAAACATGCCTTGTGAATGATCGACATTAAAATGTGATAATAAGTTTAATGACTGAGTTTGCTCAATCATCATCGAAAACAGTATACATCTGAAATTTTTAAAACACGTTGAAGTAATCGTGTCTGTTTTCAATTGAATGAAAAATAGCAGTTTATTTTAAAATATCATTTGAAACAATGTTGAATGACTGATTCCTCAAATTGTACATACCTACTTAAAGTGAAATGTGATATCTATTTAGAGTAATATTTGCCTGTGATGTTTTTAGCTTTAATTCAATGTCTGCTTCTGTCTTCCATGTGTAATACTAATGTTCACATTTCATTAACAATTATGAAAATAAAATAAGTTTATTGATGAAAAGTGCTGTACAAAATAATTGTTCTCGGTCAAAATAACCTAAACTATACTTTATATTCCCGCCTTCTTTCCATTCTCCATTCGTCATAAGTTTGCTTGTGGATTTGAGCGAATGACATATTTGTGAAGGAAGTTAATTAGTAAGTTAAAAACCTTATTTGCATTGCTGTTTAGAAATATTTTTGAGAAAAATTGTATTTTAGTGACCTGAAATTTTTTATGTATTTACGAAAACGGAAGGCCATCTTAACTTACATGATAACGGGAGTAAATTTAATTAAGTAAAAGCAATAATCGAAAATATTGTCATTCCCTTATTAATTAAATAAAATAACTTATTGCAACTTTGTCACTTATTACATAAATCTTTCATTGAATTTTTATATAAGCCATTAATTCAAACTTTGTTGCAATTAAATAAAGAAATTAATAACTAAATATTATTCTTATATCGTAAAATAATGTATAATATTTTAGTGTTTAACGTGACATTACGTTGTAAAATTTTGAGTACATAAAACTATTTTATAAATTTGGAACTTTGCATTCGAACATCACTGATTGCACAGAAGTGACATAATATAAACGTCAGTGCTGTTCGGGTTATTGATGTCACAAATCAACAAATTATCGACGGGGTGCCTTGTGTGTAGGCAACTCAACGATCCGCAGCGTCATGCAGGTCACAGAATCGATGGTGGCAACGGGGGTAACGAACTTCGGTCGCCGTGTACAGGTGCTCCAAAATATATATACACACATTGAATAAATGAAATGGGACATTTTAATAAACTAAATTATTACATACGTAAGCATTGCACGACGTGAATTAGCGAATATAATGAGTTTATTAAGTGCAGACCACACAAAGTTCCATTCTTAAACACAACACGCGGAGATTGATAACCTAGGTAAAAAAATTCCGTAATAAGTGTATACGTATTTTGGGGCCGACTGTAATTTTACAGTCCTGCCGCCCACTGTCACAAGGTAGTCGCAATGGCTTGATTGGTAAAGTAGGTCTCTGTACTTTTTACCTTGCCTGTCGTATCTTGGACAGAATTTGCACAAATTTAAAGTTTGGAATATAACTATGGTTGAATATCCGTGATTTCTTGACTTCGGAACTCGGAAGAGGGGGGGGGGATAATGTATAATCAGTGTTTGACCCCATACACTTTTCCTCGCGGAAATGGGACCTTGGAATCCATTTGACAGGAGAGTCCAAGAGAAGAATTCTTACCTCTGCAATGTTGTCCAGGCTTACAGTAAAATATCGAATAAGTGAGGGCATAGAATTTTTATAAATCTTAGTCAAAAGGAAAGATAAAATGGACGAACCGTTAGCCGAGGCCAAGTGCTTGGCACCTTGATTTAAGCATTCGGGAGGTCGCGGGTTGAAATCTCTGTCCGGACTGAGCGCTTTCGTGACTCATGCTGAGTCTTACGAAGCAAATACAAGAGTATCAGTTCTGATCACGTCGGCGAGCTACACGTAGACGGGAGGATAATATTAAAATGCATCTTAGGGAAATAGAATGTGAAGTTGTGGAGTAGACGGTGAGCCTTAAGAGAAGGTAAATTCTTGTGCCTGGGGATAAATACAGCCCATACGTTTTCGTAATGCCATGTTTTGTTTCTGTCGTTTGGGAAGTAGATGAATGTTGTGAATCTCACGGAGTTATTATTATTAAGTGTTCTGTCTTACGACAGGTCCATTGCTCTGCTCAAAAAAAGCTCTCCAGTTGTCCCTATTCTCGGCTTCTCGCTTTAATTCCTGGAACGTCATCTTCTTTCCTTGTTTAAGGTCGTCGGTTAGCTGTATCAATCTTCTTCCTAGTCCTCTCTTTCCTTCAACCTGGCCTTAGGTACTAATAGTTGCAGATTTTAGTAACTGCTGCACAAAATATCGGAATTGGATGGTAACTGAATTCTCATTGCCAGAAGGTCTTCGTTGCAAGTATTTGTTTTATCTGGTTACAACAGTGTTGAGGTGAAAGTTTTCCGGTGACAGGTCTTGATAGTTGGTTCATCGTCTTCACCGTCTACGTCCAGACATTCTCTCATCCTCATCCATAAAGCCGGTGGGTTTGACTCGTGTATTTCTCTGAAACTGCCATCCCCTGTGTACTCGGAGGAGTCATTGACTGAATTATCTGCCACACGTCCCCAAGTCCGGAGTCAACCAGTTGGCTGGTCACGGCTGATGAAACTAATCTTTTTGCACGCCCGTTAGCTACCTGCGCGTTTGACACTTACAGCCTCCTGTCACACTTAGCCAAAAGTTGTTATAACAGCTCTCGCTGCACTGAAGCCGCTTCTCGTACGCGAGATCTCGCTACCCCCACTCAGGCCCAATTAAGCTGAGACTTTCTTTCCAAACAGAATTTTACTTCGTGCATTCTGTTACGTGCCGCCCAGGGCACGAGGCCCGCAGATTGGGGAGTCAGTGATCAAACACCAGTCGTCCTCGTGCTTTCTTTTTTTTTCTGTACGCGGTCAGTTTGTTTAATTTTCTATTTTTACTCCGCAGTAGTAGCGCCTGGTTTTCTACTTCCCTGCTGCAGGCAGTGATTACTGATTACTTTCAGAGCAAATAATAGAGCGTGCAGAAGGGTACAGTCACATTCATTCTGTATAGACCTGCTTCAGTCCTTGAACCAGTGAGGACTTCACGTCATCAATAACTAGTTTGAAAAGCCCGTTTGAAATTCAGCGGGGGCCGAGTTATTTCCTCATCAACTTTCTCCTTTCCTTTATCCCTTTTGTACTTTTAACCACTCACATCTTTTCTCTCGTGTTTCCTTCTCATTCCGTTTACATCTCAAGAGACATACGCCTAAATATGAAGAAATACCACCCGCACTACGTCTTTTACTACTAGCGACCGAAACGTCTTCACGCTCATTTTATCCTTATCAGAAGGACGAGCGGGCACTGCCTGGGGGCACGAAAGAGAGAGAAACGAGAAGCGTGAAGGTTTCGTGATCGGCGACTGAACTTCCCACGTGCTAATGCGATCACGAAGAAGGGACTCGTGTGTTCGACGGAATACCGGAGGACAGCAGGGACAGGTGTGTGGCACCCACTTGCTTTCCCACGGTCCGGAGCTGCAAGCTGACGAACTGCTGTTGCGCCCACTGGCCGCGCCGCCAACAGGCGATCAGCACGCGCAGACGCGGAGGCCGGGGGGCGGTGGGGCGGTGGGGCGAGGGGCTATAATCACACGGGCTGAGGTCGTCGGTACCTGACAAATAAAACATGAAAGGAAGTTGTGGTAAAGCTGCGACTGTGCCAGAGCCGAGGTATGGAAGTGAATCTCCGTAGCTGGCGTGGACAATAGCGAAGAGAGAAACATCCTTGCAGGGAATCGAACCTGATCTTCCAGGTCGAAGGAACTCACTTCTCTGACTGAAAAAAAAGAGAGCGAAGAACTTGCTGTTGATCCTTGCCTTATTTAACAATGCTGTTTCAGCTACATAGATTGTCTTTGGCGGTCGTTAAAAGGGACTTAAGTTAAGACAAATCACTTTTGACTTAAGCCTTTCGTACTGAGCACTGAAAGGTGTAACGTTGAATGTTACGATGACTTTGAACAGTGAATTATAATGGGTCAGTAAGGAGTGGGTCATGTCTGTTTAAAGGTAATACCAACAGATAAGATGCCGATTATGCTCGTCGGGATTGTAAGGGTTACCAATGTTTCGAAGGAACTTCTTGCTTCCATCTTCAGGGTAGAAGGCCACAGTCGAGTAAATTTCGCTTACCAAGAAAATTTTACAGGAAGATATTTGGGTAAACAAGGGGTGATGTAAGTGAGAAATATAGAATTAATATAAGGCATCAAAACAACAACTAGACACAACACGAAATTTACATATTCATTATTTTTCTGTATTTCCGATGTAGGTCTACTATATATGATGTTTGTCACGCGTTGTTAACGTCATGGAACCTATTTTGTACCATATATTTAAATAATTTATTCAGTTAATTTCCTTTGATGAATATACATTATGAGAAAGTGTTGTTGGACGAGCTCGCTGTGAACAGCACGGGAAAGTTCGTGTGCACTAAGTGAGCTTGCGCATTGAAGATCACGACCTCAACTGAAATTCATGTAACTGTCCTGTGTTCAAGATGACGTCAGGAGACAAATTTTTTAAATGTAGGTTTTTGGGGTCTCAGTACGCTTATTTAATTGTTACTGAACCTAAAAGTGGAGTGGAGCCTACTCAAAATTAGGTTTAATTAGTTAAAATACCGATCAGAGTTGCTATTATACTGACCGAATCAATTATTGATCTGTATCTATAAATTATGTTCATTCATCACTAATATTTTATAACTTTTTAACGTTTTCTGAACTACTGAACTTTACGCAGGGAGAGAGAGAGAGAGAGAGAGAGAGAGAGAGAGAGAGGCGTCGAATATCAGCAGTAAATCTGACGCAACAGTTTTCGACTTCATTCTCCGCAATTACGAAACGTCTGAAAATCCGGTTCTCGTATTTAATACGACCGGTAACCAAAAACGTCCCGGAGCACGAATCGACTGCTGTGGTGTGTGGAGGAATGGTCTAAGGGAAAAATATGGCTGTCTTCTGGGTAGTAGCGATGACTCATCGTCCTGATGATGGAAGCAGCAAGGACCTGTGAAACGTTTCTGAACTTGTACCAGAATACACGGAGCTACAACCCAGAAGACTCACCGCCGTGAAACCCTCACAAACCTCACATGCTAATTGAAGAATGTAGCCGGATTGATGATTGATGATTGGATGGATGAGAGGGTGGATTGTTACCAGAATGGGTGGACGGTGACGTGTACACTGATGACGACGCCAAGCGTCTCAAAAGGAGGGAAACGGTCTCTTGACATTAAAGTGGTGGATAAACTGGTAAGTGCAGTGAAGCCTCGACGAAAATCGCGAATTCGGGTTTCTTCATCTCTGCCAGTGCGATAAATGCCATTTTCGCTCATAACGCGGGTAGCAC